AAAATGTAAAAAAAAAATTTAAAAAAAATGTTTGGTTATGAACTAATTTGTTTTGTTTTTTTTTACTAAAAAGATAACTGAATAAATTTTGGCCAAGATGTATGAAGAAAGATTATTTATTTGCAAAATGTTATAAATGTTTGGACATTTTTATTTATATAGCAAAAAAAAAAAAAAAATCCCAGTGGTGAATAAATACCACCAAAATAAAGTTTTATCTGTCTCAAAAAAATGCTAAAAAATTCATATGGGTACAGTGTTGCATGACCATGCAATTGTCATTCAAAGTGTAACAGCACTGAAAGCTGAAAATTGGCCTGGACAGGAAGGGTGTAAAAATGTCCAGACATGAAGTGGTTAATAAACTTAATTTAACTTTACTCAACCTGGTTCCTGATTTCCTAAGGCACAGCCCACTGATGTGGTCATCCTTGCTGGATGTCTGTGGTAACCCTAGCATAATATTGAAGCCCCTAATGATCAGATTGGCTGCACCTGGGAGTTAGGAGGTGAATGGGTTAAGTGCTGCAAGATGCACTAAGAGGAGGTTTGGTACTATGCACTGCTTGCAACAGAGGACAGGGAATATTGCCCTCCAAATATTGAAGGAGCAGACTAAGGAACAGCTGTTGGAATGCATCCACCTGGCTCATTCTCTTGTTGATCAAGGCAAAGATTTGTTTTGGTGAAGTTCAGCGCCTAACTTCTAGGTTTACACAGAGTTGTCTTTGTCTTGTATCCCTAAAGGTGGTGATGATTATTCTCCTCCTTTTAGCGTGTCCCAGGTAGAATCTCTGGTGTGGCTACTTGAAGATGGCAAGTCCTAATTTGTTTAACATTACTCTGTATATTCACGAGAATTGTATCGATGCAGTACAATCTTTAGTCACACAAGGGAATTGTAAATTGAGTTTTGTCCAACCCCTACTCCAAGCCTGGTCAGATACATCCTACTCAGGTTCAGCTAACATGCACCAATCCACTTCTGCTTCTAGACACCAGTTTGCTCAGAGATCCCCTTCTCCATTACCCATAGCATCCACTGCTGCAGTTCAGTATACTTCCAGTTCAGTATGCTTCCGACTGTATGTCAATATCCTGTCTCCACTTGCTACTCATTTCCTGCATTTGATTCAGTGAAAACTCCCTCTTTTACTCCATTGCCCCTGGCAATCCCTCTGAAATGCTCATCTGCTACTGCTCCTCCTTTTCTGCCATCTGTCAGTACTGCTGCTACTCATCCATCTGCTGCACAATCTGTTTATAGCCCTGCAATCAAGGAATTTACAATATACAATTCTACCTCTGTCCTCCTCTGCCACAACACCAGCTACTCTGTTCCCATCTGCCCCGATTCCAGCTGCTTTCTTCCCACCTGCCATAACACCAGCTGCTCTGGTCCAGCCTGTCACAATTCCACTCTGGTTCAGCCTGCCATGACACCATCTGATCCAGTAAAGCCTGCCACCATGCCATTTGCTCCACTGAAGCCTGCCACCATATCTGTCTTTCTGGTCCAGCCCATGATAATTGAGCCTTCTGCTTCAGACCTGCCTGTCACTGCCTCAACCATGGCCCAGGCCACTCCTGGCTTACCCTCAATCCTGCCTTCTGCCTTTTCATATCTAGGGATTTTCAGCAACCAGGCCTCACCCTACAGCAATTACATCTGCTCAAGCCTGTCTTAGGAGTACCATCCATCCTTTGGACAGACTGCCTCATTCAACCAAGTGGGGCCCTTTTTTCCTCGCCATCCTGCATCAGCCTCTGTTCCAGCAACCCAGCTTAACCTCAAATATATGTGACCTGCTATCCAGCCTACTGATTCTCTGACTACTGTTTAGTTTGGCTCTATAGACTGTTTGCTGGCTAATCAAACTGACCTCACTGATCCCCTGACCATTGCCCAGGCTGATGGCATGCTGCCTACTAATGGGATATACCCCACCTCTATACTACCTTCTGATGGGGGTTCAACCTGCCTCTATGCTTGCTGATGGGATCAGTATGCCACTGATATCCTGCTGTTCACTGCCAAATCTGCCTCTGGTGATCTGCTATCCTCTGCAAAGCGTGCCTCTCATTCTCCTATGCCTGTTGCCTCAGCTTGGTGGTCCTGTGTCTGCTGTTTAGCCAGAGGATCCTGTTCTTGGTACCCAGCCAGAGGGTACTGATGCCCAGCCTGAGGGTCTTGTTCCTGGTGCCTAGCCTAAGGGTCTTGTTCCTGATGCCCAGCCTGGTGGTCCTGTTCTTGATGCCCAGCCAGAGGGTCCTGTCTCTGATAACCTGCCTGCCTCTGACAGTCCTGTGTCAAACAACCTTCTTGCCTCTGTGGGTCCCATGCCTGATGATTTGTGTGCCTCTGGTGGTCCTTTGCCCAACAGCCTTCCCCTTATGGTCCTGAACCTGATACCCACCTAACCTTGCTGATCCTGTGACTGCTACCGAGCCAGATGGTCCTGTACCTGCTGCCCAGCCTGATGGTTCTGCTCCTGCTGCCAAGCCTGATGGTGCCATTCCTAATGCCCAGCCTGATGGTGCCATTCCTGCTGCCCAGCCTGATGATCCTGTTCCTGCTGCCCAGCCTGATGGTCCTGTTCCTGCTGCCCAGTCTGATGGTTCTGTTCCTGCTGCCCAGCCTGATGTCCCCTGTTCCCCCAGCCCAGCCTGATTGTGCCTTGCCTGCTGCCAAGTCTGATGGTGTTGTGCCTGCTGCCCAGCCTGATGCTCCTGTTCCTGCTGCCCAGCCTGATGTCCCCAGTTCCTGCTGTCCAGCCTGATGGCCCTGTGCCTGCTGTCTTGCCTGATGTTGCCGTGCCTGCTGACCAGCTTGATGTTGCCATGCCTGATGCCCAGCCTGATGGTCCTCTGCCTGATGGCCAGCCTGATGCTCCTCTGCCTGCTATGCAGCCTGCTTCTGATGTTCCTCTGCCCTCTGGCAGCCTGCCTTTGATGCTCCTGTGCTTGCTGCCCAGTCTATCGCCTATGGTTTTGTGCCTGCTGACCAGCTAGTCTTCAGTGCCAGGGTCTTATCCGCTGTTGGGTCTAATTTTGCTGCACTTCCAAGATTGTTGCATGACTGGCATGGGCTACCCATTCGGTCTAAGATCCCAGTTGCTGACTCTCCTGAGTCCCCCTTGCGGCCATTTGTTTCTGTTGCGCAAAGACCTGATAGTCTAGATACCCACTTTGGAAGTAAGAGCTGCATTCTCCTGTTCAGTCCCAATAATAGAGGTCTTCTTGGAAAGGGCAGATTTCCATCTAAGCTTTGTCTTGACCTAGATGGTACCTCTACAATCCCAGGTGCATTAAGGGACCCTTGCTAGGCAATCAATGCCTTGGATAGACCTGCGTGGCTGTTTGAGTGTAGAGCAGTTTCTGGCAACCAAGATGTTGAAGGTCCAGTTGCAATGGGACACCCTGGCATCAGGGTAATTGTATGGACCTGGGATACTGGTGTTTAGGTTTTCAGCTGGCCTTTGGAGTCCCAGCATTGGGACATGTGCTGCATTAGGGATGTGTAAATTTCAAATGTTGCACCTTTTGGGATCTGACCTGTCAGGAAACCAGACAGCTTTCAGAACCCGACGGTGGAGTAACCAGTCCAGTGAGTTGAAAAACTCGGGCCTGAAGAGTTCAAGGGAGTCTTCAACCACTGAAGGGAAATCTTTTTGGACTTATCCTGCACCCACATGGACTTTCTGGTTAAAGGCAGAGTGCTGGTGGCACTGTTGTTCCCAGAATCAAAGGGAGCAGTTTTGGTGGTCACCAGCGGGTGTCTTCCAGCAGCTGGGCTGTCTGAGTAATTCGATTGCACCTGATGTGGGCTGCTGGGATATATATTATTATTATTACAGGTACTTATATAGCGCCGTAAATTTTTGCAGCGCTTTACATATATATTGTACATTCACATCTGTCCCTAACCCTCAAGGGGTGTACAATCTAAGGTCCCTAACTCACATTCATACACATACTAGGGCCAATTTAGACAGGAACCAATTAACCTCCCAGCATATCTTTGGAGTGTGGGAGAAAACCAGAGTACCTAGAGAAAACCGATGCAGGCACAGGGAGAGCATGCAAACTCCAGGAAGGTGGTGCCATGACTGGGATGTATATAATCCTGCCCTTGACTAAACTTCAGTGCTTCAGTATTCTTTCTGCAAGCCACGTCCCTGCCTGAGCTTGATCCGTGTTCCTGCACCTGCCCCTGAGACCTGTACCCTGCATCCTGCTCTCCCAGTACCTTGCTCACTGCTCCTCTTATTTCCTGTCTTAGTCCTGACCTTTCCCTTCTTGTGTGTGCTCCCTCCATTTGTATATAGTTAGTTGGGTTATTTGCTGGGTTGCTGCATTTTCACATTTATTTTGTCATTTTACAGTGTTTTTGGTAAACTGGCATTGGTAAGAGTGATATTTATGATAATAAACTTAATTTAACTTTACTCAGCTTGATTCCTGATTTCTTAAGATACAACCCACTAATCTGGTCATCCTTGCTGGATGTCTGTGGTGTCCCTGACACTCTAGCTTGTAACTGAAGGAAGACTGAAGTGTCACCAGAAACCTGTATATTCATATACAGCTTTATTCCAAAATCAGATTAAAGGAATAGTCATCAATGCAGCATATTTTAAGGGCCAAAACAATGCTCCCTTCATCAGAGTTTGGCTAGATTTTATTGAAACAGTTTGTCAGTAGCTGTTTTAAGTGGCTTGACCTTAATTGATACATTTTAAATAATTCATAATTATAAACTATAAACTGAGCCCCAGGCAAACATAAAAATACACATATAAAATGCATGTATGGAAGAGGGTGCCCATTGCTTCTGCCTGTTGCTGGAGAGTATCTCTGGCATTAGAGCAAGGGGATCCAATTATTTGGGTGTGACCTGGCAAAGCTCGGTTTCCCCTTAGACTATTCTCTAGAGGAAAATGTGTGCTAGATATTTTAGCCTCCTGGGTCTTCTGCCTAGGGAGGGTACATACATGCTTGTGAGCAGGGGCGGACTGACCATTTAATAACTCGGGCACTGCCCGAGGGCCCTGGGTCAGTAGGGGGCCCCATGAGATGCCCCTGGTACCCTTTTCATAGGCTTTTTTGAGTTTGGGCAAGGACACAGGGCCCCATGATCCCCTATTGCCCGGGGGCCCCATGAGTTGTCAGTCCGCCCCTGCTTGTGAGACAAGGCCTGAGTCTGGTACATGCCTGTCGCCAGGAGTGCCATGTTCACTGCCCAGGAAGTACAGGAGGTTGAAAAAAGGAAGAACAAAATAGTTCCGGTGGTTCCAGGAGTACATTTGTTCACAGGGGATGGCTGGGACTGATGTCTTGCTTGGAAGTAGTCAGAGAGACATACGGAGGGGGAGGGGCGGACTGACTATTTGGAAACTCGGGCACTGCCGAGGGCCCGGGGTCAGTAGGGGGCCCCATGAGATGCCCCTGGTACCTTTTTCATAGGCTTTTTGAGTTTGGGCAAGGACACAGGGGCCCCATGATCCCCTATTGCCCGGGGGCCCCATAAGTTGTCAGTCCGCCCCTGCGGAGGGGTCAGTTCAAGTGTCAGGTAGAAACATGGACAAACAGGCAGAGGATTGGTCCAGGCAGTGAGCAGAAACATGGTCAATAAACAGGCCAATGTCAGTACAAGTAAATTCAATACTGAACAGTGATCAGGAACACTGTTGCTGGCTGCACTGTCTGGTGACAGTGGGACTTGTGTAGCAGTAATCAGGAACACTGTTAATGGCTTACATTGGTGTGGTGACACTGCAACTGGTGTTGTGGTGGTAAGAGACACCGTGGATAGTATACAGTGATCTGGTGACACTAGGACTAGTATGATAATGAAAACTGTTGTTGTCTGCATTGGCCTGTTATGGTGCCGATCAGGAACATTGGTCTTGCACTGATAATTTAACTGGTGTGGTGGTGATTAGAGACACTGACTGGCTGCTCTATTAGGGCTAGTTCATACGTACCACCCCTCAACTGCTACTCCCTTAAGCTGCAGAAGCAGGCCCATGTACACATGCTTTGGCTGTGATGCTTTGCAGCTGTGGCAGGAATAATACCCCTTGTATGCCCACCATTTGCTTCCTATTCAAGTGAATCAAGGAGCTTCTGAGGGGGTCCAGGGGGTTAAAGCAGGTGTGAGGAGGCACAACAATGCCTCCTCACTGCCTGTAAAATGCTCTCTGAAGAGCGATCCGAATGCTGTTCAGAGAGAATTGCACATATGAACATGGTGACACTATAACTGATGACACTAAGAATGGTGACACTATGACTGGTATGGCAGTGATCAGGGGCAGTGGAACTGGTGTGGTAGTAATCAGGGACACTGGGACTGAAGTGATGGTGATCAGGAACACTGGGACTGGTGTGACGGTGATCAGGAACACTGGGACTGGTGTGACGGTGATCAGGGACACTGTGACTAGTGTAGTGGTGAATAGGGGCAATGTGACTGGTGTGACATTGATCATGGACACTATGACTGCTGTGGCTGTAACTAAGGACACTGAATGGGCAGCAGTGTTTAAGAACACTGACTAGTGCAGTGGTGATTTGGGACACTGACTGGCAACACTGGTCTGGCGACATTGTACTGCTGTGGCAGTGATCAGAAACAATGGCTGGTGGCACTGACATACAGTGAAATCAGAGCAGCCAGCCATTGTACACATTCACAGCCACAGCAGTTAATAAACTCTTTATGCAATTTAAAGTGACTGGAACCTATCTGTCCACAACCTCACTCTATGTCAAGGATTCTAAACTGTAGTAAAATGTCTACTCAACCATTTATCTGTGAAACAGGGCCAGATCTAGGGGCCCCAGATTTTTGTTGTGCCCCTCCAGTTCTCTGAAAGTGCATCCACTGATTCATGAGCCAGTCTGATGCAGAGAACTCTGTTGGGGACCCTGATGTAAAGGGACACTTTGAAGGTAACACCTGATGTAAGGAGGCACTCTGATAGGGACCCTGATGTAAAGGAGCACTCTGATGGGGGACCCTGATGTAAGGAAGCACTCTCATAAGGACCTTGATGTCAGGGGGCACTCAAATGGGAACCTGATGTAAAGGGGGTGTTGATGGGTATCCATAATGTAAAGAGAGACTTTAATAAGGACTCCTGATGTAAAAGGGGACTCTGATAGGGACATCTGACATAAGGTAGCACAGGTTCTTTTAAATCACTCTAATCTAAAACAGCCTGATATACACTAGTGTTTCCCAGGTTGAGACACTGTGTGACAGACTGTCAGTGACTCACACACAATGTTGACAATATGCCCCTTGACTTTTTTCTTACTGCACCCTCAGATCAGATTTGGCCCTGAAATTCTGGTGAATATGATTTTTTCTCAGAATCTGCTATGTCCTTTGAGGTATCTTGTGCCCTAACCCTCTCTCCCATGAGTTTATGGCAATTAATAAACTCTTTATGCATCTTTAAGTGAGTGGAGCTCATCTTTCCACAACCTCACTCTACGTTAAGGACTCTACCCAGAGTTGAAATGTCTGCCCACCCTACTATTTCTATTCCAAGTGGTAGGGGGTTTGTAGGCAGGTGCATTCTGTAGTCTCCACTGCAGGTGGTGCTGCACCATAGTGGCAATACAGAGGGGAGAGGAATTGGAAGGAAGTTGGATTTCTCTATGACTTCCTCAGTCACAGGGGACAGTGATCCAGTTGGATGCCCTTGTTCTATGTGACCCTAGTGGCCAGCTTGGGCCAAGCAGAGTCTGTTTAAGATTCTGACCCTGGGTTTTGGTAAGCTTTGTGCTAGTGATTGGTGTACGGACAAGTTCCCCATCTGTCAGGGATAGCACTAGTGATAAGGAAAGGTTCTGGTGGAGTAGGGAGAGAGCCAGGACTATGTCTACCTTGTCAGAAAGCTTCCCTTTTGGGTTGGACTGGCCAGGCATGGCAGACGCTGTCTGCAGTACTGTCGTAGGTGTTCCCATTCTGCTGAGCCTTCCTCCTGGGCCTGGTTGTACTGTTGAATTACTTTTACAATAAATTGTCTTTGGAAAATCGGGACTCTGTGTGCTTACTGCCCTCCAATGTGCACCCACCCAACAGGATGCTACACTTGCAATAATTGAGTTTAAAAATGAATTGATCGCTTAATTAATGAATACAAGACTGTCTACATTATTTTATTTTCTGTTAGGTTTTGAAGGTCAGCAGAACATGTGAAATAGTTTTCTTTTGATGTCCATATGTATGGAAAAAAATTGACTATATAATTACCCTTGGGGGAACACTGAGGCTGGAAGGGCATGTGCTGAACTCCTTGATTGGGCATCTTTTTTGTATAAACCTCAATATATGACCCTTTACACCCAAACATTTTTTTACCAGTCAACTATACTGCACTTGATGTGTTCACTACACGTGTAGCTGTCTGCAGACTTGTCTGAAAGAGACGTTTCTCAGATTTGATTATTTCTGACAACTACCTTGCCTATTCCACATTTCAAAATCGCTAATACATTCTGTCACATCTATGTGGTATACCAGTTTTTCTTCTTTCATATTGATATAATAATGTTGGATTTTATGTAAGTGTTAATGCAGCACTGTAGCCACACTTCCATTACATGTAGAATAGAGTCTCCTGTCATCCTGGCATACATTGAAACTGAGATATAAAGGATTGAACAGCCAGTATATTAACCTACACAACCATTTAATCCTCCAAACAGCTTTGTGCGCTAGCTGATGCCACGAAGCATCAGCCTCTCAGCGGGAAGCAGAGTCTACTCAAAAGAAGTTTAAATGATAATATTTCCTCTGAGGGATGTGCCTTATGCTTAACATTGTGTAAATGCTTCGAGATTCTGTTTCATATAATTCCAAGAGTATAGCGTGACTGCTGCCAAATAACAAAATTAATTTTGTGCTTAATTGCAAACTATTTTTCTGCTGTATATGAAGTTCTACAACCATTCATATTGCTTGTTGTCTTGGTCTCCAGCAGGGATCGGCAGGCATTTTCTATAATAAAATAATTTTTCAGCTCTTTGCAGAATGCTGTGAAAAAGTTCAGTTTTGTAAGTTAAATCAGATTTTGAATTTTATTCGTAAATTATATCCCACTTCAGATATAAGGAAATACATAACAGATTTACTAGTTTCATTGTCTACATCATGTATTATTATTATTACAATTATTATTATTATTCAGGGTTTATATACTGCCAACAGTTTTCACAGAGCTGTACAAATACAATATACAGGAAGACAGTTACACAGTTACATAGTTAGCCTGGCTGAAAAAAGACAAAAGTCCACCCAGTTCAACCATTAAAAAAAAAAGTTATAATCCTACACCCACAGTTGATCCAGAGGAAGGAAAAAAACACCTAGCAAAGTATGATCCAATTTGCTCCTGCAGGGGAAAAAATTCCTTCATGATCCCCCGAGAGGCAATTGGATATTCCCTGGATCAACTACAACAACAGTTACAATACAGTTGCCATACAATGCAATACAATAGGGTTAAAAGGGCCCTGATCATAAAAGCTTACATTCTGATAGGTTTGGCAAGTGGTATAAAAGGTAACAACCGTGAGGGAATAGCTGATGGAAGAATTAAACGTTCGGTTGTTAGGTGGAGGTGGGATAGGCTTCCCTGAAGAGATGAGTTTTCATGGATACCCTAAAGGTGGCCAGAGTAGATTATGGCTGGACAGATTTAGGTATAAAGTTCCAGAAGATGGGAGAGGCTCTGGAGACGTCTTGAAAGTGAGCATGGGAGGAGGATACAAGAGAGCTACAGAGCAGGAGGTTTTGGGTTAGCAGAGAGGACAGTTTGGGTGATATTTTGAGACAAGATTGGTGATGTAGCTTGGGGCAGAGTTTGTATGTTGTTGTTCGTATTTTGAATTTAATTTGCTGGGCAATCAAAAGCCAATGGAGCAATTGGCAGGGAGTGGTGGCAAGCATTGAGTGATTGATAAGGAAGAGTCTGGCAGCTGAATTCATTAGGGATTGAAGGGGGATAGTCTACATAGAGGTAGGCCTAGTAAGGGGAGTTGCAATAGTCAAGGTGAGAGATAAGAAGGGAGTGAATAAGTAGCTTAGTGGTTTCATTAATTACAAAGAGGCACATTTTAGCTATGTTACAGAGGTGATGTCTACAAGCTTTTGACAGTGAATAGATTTAGGGCTGAAAGGGCGAGTCAGAGTTTAGGATTACACCCAGTACCCTGGATCCTATCAGCTTGGTTTTAGAAGGATTTATTTGAGTAAGTGGTGTGACATCCATGTTGATATGTCAGTTATTTCTTGCATCTTTGTGTAGAGATGTATTCTGGAGATGGCATATTAAAGTTACCTTATGCATTATACAGAGTTTAATTTCTGATTGTTACTTATATACAGGAGAGTGAGGAGAGAATACAATTACTAATTAATAGTATTGCTAGTAGTGGTCACTTTCTATTGGACTTCTTCTGTAATGTCAAAGACATTTTTCTACCCATCTAGAGGGTTCCACAGTTCAGATTAGTGCCAGAAACATACCCCAGCATTTATAGCCACATGGGTAACTCAGTCACCCTAATTCAACCACCAGGAACTGTGTCAAAGCAGATGATGGCTGTCCAAGAACTTGATGGGATGTGTGAAAGTTTCTGGAACCACCCTATTTTACTTACACAATCCAATCCCATGAAGCTCGAGAAAAGGTAACTATCGAAAGAGTTATATGGCTGAGAATATGATCTGTTTATAAATGCTCCCAATCCCCACTGCCTGCATCCATAGACACAGACAGTAGAGCATAGCCCGCCCCCCACTCCTTCACAGAGTATGATTTACAGCAGAGGGGGGAAATGGCGCTTGCTGCTATTGAGGAGGGACAGAGCCGCGACTGCCACGAGAGCCACTGCTGTCTTGCATGGTGCTGGATTGCGATGGGGCTCAGGTAAGTATAATGGTGGTTTGGGGCAGAGATCTGAGGTACAAAAGGTACATCATAGAAGCACTGGCGTGACTCAATTGGGAAAACAGTCATGTTCTTTCAAGAGTTTACCATGTACCATGAGCAAGGTACATTTTATGATGCATACGGCACTATGGGAAGCTTTTGCTGCTAAGGTCAATATCGGTTGCAGTTAAATACCTCCTGGTTCCCCCTGTGGCTTGCTTGCATGAACTGCAATGGCACTTCCAGGGTAATTCTGCTGGTATCACACTGCAATTGTCATGTGCTGATGTATTCACCTCTCTACAAGCCTTGTACAGAAGGCTGCATGTTTGATTATGAACTGCTCTACTGGCTATGAACCTTTAGCCTGAGGGAAAATACAACCAAGTAGCCATTTCTTGGTAGGGATAGATTATTTGGGGCTAAAAAAGTATGTGTGCCACAGTGATTAGTGGGCTTGTTAAAAGAAGGAAATCCCTAATGAACATGGTTTATTGTAACATCTCCTAAACACAGGCATGTTTGATTATGAACTGCTCTACAGGCTATGAAGAAACAGAAAAAGGGCGCACCGACCTAGTGCATTATCGTTTAAAACTAATTTATTAAAGAAACAAAAATAGGTATCATACTCACAATGGACATAATAACACAGGCATGTCAAACTGAACAAGACGTATGATCCAAACAACATCTGAGTCCATATGATGGAACCCTGGATGACCAACTGGCTAACACGTTTCGAGGACACAACCTCTTCCTCTTCTACAGGCTATGAACTTTTAGCCTGAGGGAAGATACAACCAAGTAGCCATTTCTTGGTAGGGATAGATTTTTTGGGGCTAAAAAAGTATGTGTGCCACAGTGATTAGTGGGCTTGTTAAAATGAGGAAATCCCTAATGAACATGGTTTATTGTAACACCTCCTATCCCGCCTTTCAGCATCAAGTTACCATTTACTCTGGCAGGCCTGAACAGGTAGATGGTAGTTACATATGTTATTATAAATGGCCCTGGGGGCAAATGCCCTTCTGCCACTCATCACAGACCTTCCTTTAATTCAGGGCTATTATACTATTGTCTGACCTCATACCCGAATCAGTAACTTGTCTCACCATATTTTCAAGCTACATATCAAGCTACATATCAGGTAAACCACAACTACCTGACCTGGTACAGGCACTACATGCCTATTCCCAGGTTATTTCCGCCAGCAGCATTGTTTTCTCTCATAATAGATTGTAAGAGTCTAATGTATAATGTCAAACTGAAAAGGCATGGCTAGCTAAAGAGAATTCTAAATTTAATTGTACAACCAAAAATCATTAACTAGATAACTCTATTGCTAAGAAAAACTATGTCATCTGTGGTGCTTCAATTGAAAATAGAAAGTGGACAGAAAAGCTGGACCGGTGTGAACCTCAACAGGAGCTTAATCATAAGTGCTTCAGTAAAGATTAGATGCAGCGCTAAACATATCATGCTATTGTCCTAGCTGTGGTTTCCAGGGTCTGATTACCTCTTCACGGTCTACTTACTTTTGCATGTATGTGCATAATAATTTTCAAATTACCTTATTATTCACTGTGGTTTTAAAAAAAATTATATATACTGTATGTATGAGTGTGTATATATATATATATATATATATATATATTTTAATAAGCACAGTGAATAATAAGGAAAGAATAACAAAGCAATTTGACAATGATTACACACATACATTTTTTTATTTCTTTTCTCAATGAAGAACTCTATTCTAACCGAGGAGGAGTTTTTTTAACATTGCCTTGGCTAAAATCTATAAATATAGCCAATACCATTTTCCTTGCAATGGAAAATTTTCTGTTTGTTGTGTATACAGTCCAAGATTTGTGTGTTGCCTACCATGTCTATCACATTATGCTGATTGACGGCACACTATACACATTGCAAAACACAAGCAATATTTTTTGCATTATACAGTTGCAAGAAAAAGTATGTGAACCCTTTGGGATTACGTGGAGTTTTGCATGAATTGGGCATAAAATGTGCTCTGAATGTCATCTAAGTCACAACAATAGAAGAACACAGTCTGCTGAAACATAATACTACACAAACATTAGATGTTGCCATGCTTTAATTGCACATAACATGTAAACATTCACAGTGCAGGGAGGAAAAAGTATGTGAGGCCCTAGCTTAATGACTTCTCCCAGAGCTAATTGGAGCCAGAGTGAGCCAACCTTGACTCCAATCAGTGTGATGATATTGGATGTGTTGCTGACAGCTGTCCTGCCCTTAAAAAACACACACCTGTTTTGGGTTTACTGGTTTCAAGAAGCACTGTCTGATGTGAACCATGCCTCACAGAAAAAAGCTCTCAGAAGACCTACGATCAAGAATTGTTGACTTGCATGAAGCTGGAAAGGGTTACAAAAGTATCTCCAAAAGCCTTGATGTTCATGTGTCCATGGTAAGACAGACTGTCTACAAATGGAGAAAGTTTAGCACTGTTGCTACTCTCCCTAGGGCGCGGTCGTCCTGTAAAAAGGACTGCAAGAGCACAGCGCAGAATGCTGTATGAGGTAAAGAAGAACCCCAGAGTGTCAGCTAAAGACCTACAGAAATCTCTGGCACATGCTAACATTTTTGTTGACACATCTACAATAAGGAAAACATTAAACAAGAATGGAGTACATGGGAGGACACCACGGAGGAAGCCATTGCTGTCCAAAAAGAATATTGCAGCACGTTTGAAGTTTGCAAAAGAGCACCTGGGTGTTCCACAGCACTACTGGCAAAATATACTGTGGACAGATGAAACCAAGATTGAGTTGTTTGGGAAGAACACACAACACTATGTGTGGAGAAAAAAAGGCCCAGCACACCAACATCAAACCTCATCCCCACTGTAAAACATGGTGGAGGGAGCATCATGGTTTGGGGCTGCTTTGCTGCCTCAGGGCCTGGACGGATTGTTGTCATTGATGGGAAAATGAATTCCAGAGTTTATCAAGACATTTTGCAGGAAAACGTACGACCATCTGTCTGCCAACTGAAGCTCCGCAGATGATGGGTGATGCAACAGGACAATGACCCAAAGCATACAAGTAATTTGACAAAACAATGGCTGCAACAGCACAGAATACGCCTCCTGGAGTGGCCCAGTCAGAGTCCTGACCTCAACCCGATTGAAATGCTGTGGCATGACCTTAAGAGAGCGATTCACACCAGACATCCCAAGAATATTGCTACACTGAAACAGTTTTGTGAAGAGGAGTGGTCCAAAATGACTCCAGATCGTTGTGCAGGTCTGATCTGCAACTACAGGAAACGTTGGTTGAGGTTATTGCTGCCAAAGGAGGGTCAACCAGTTATTAAGTCCAAAGGTTCACATACTTTTTTCCTCCCTGCACTGTGAATGTTTACATGTTATGTGCAATTAAACCATGGCAACATCTAATGTTTGTGTAGTATTGTGTTCAGCAGACTGTGTTCTTCTATTGTTGTGACTTAGATGACGTTCAGAGCACATTTTATGCCCAATTCATGCAAAACTCCACGTAATCCCAAGGGGTTCACATACTTTTTCTTGCAACTGTAGAAACCTTAACTATCACTCCGGAACATGGGTGGACTGACCATTTGGAAGCTCGGGCACAGCCCGAGAGCCCGGAGTCAGTAGGGGGCCTCATGAGATGCCCCTGGTACCTTTTTTCATAGGCTTTTTTGAGTTTGGGCAAGGACACAGGGGCCCCATGATCCCCTATTGCCCGGGGGCCCCATGAGTTGTCAGTCCGTCCCTGCTCCGGAACCACTATGCCATCAAAGGGTGTGGGTGGATTCAAGAAGAAAACACAAATTCATTAGGGGTGAAATGACTCCAGTGAGGTTGTTTTTAAACACAAACAAGGTGCACCTATAAACAAATGAACCCCAAGTTTAAAAGTTACATATACAAAGTACAAAAGGCCAGATTAATGAGCTGCGAATCACAAAAATGGTTAACGCTCAGCAGAACAATACAAAATAGCCAAAGCGTTTCAAGGGTTCAAAGGTATCCCCCCTTCTTCTCAATTCAAATATTATATAAACCCAGGAGGACTCAAAATGGCAAAATCAATACAATTAATTGCTTGATGAAAATGATGACACAGTGCCCAGGAGCAAAATAGCAGCAGCAACATGCTTAAATAGCCAGCAGGAGAGATGTGCCCATCTGTGCTGTTTAGCATGGTTGTAGGAATTTGCTATATTTCCTTTTTCAAGCTGAATGAAAGAAATCTATGTGCTTATGGCCAGCGTAAGTGTTTTAAGTACACTCCATAAACAAGGACAGATTTGTAAAAATCAGAGAAAAGAAAATGAAAAAAAAGTGGAATTATTGCCAGAAATAACTAAGTAGGTGTCTAATTTCATGGTTTTTTTAAAAAACCATCGACCAAAAAAAGACTAAAAAACCTTTTTAGTTTCCAATACCGTAATTGAAATTTGTTAGGTTATCAAGAATGTGTTTAAACACGCAAATCTAAATATGTCCTGCTTTTAAGCAGTGGGATTAAAATATACCATGGTGTGTCTCATGCCAGTTTTATAAATAATATCAATCACACTCTTTCCTGACTTTAATAGCTATAACAGTTTAATTATATAGAAAATGAGCTTCTTTAATAGAGCTCATTAAATTATATATTGAAAGTATACTCTGCCTAAATGCTCTCCCAGTTTTATTTATAAAAGAACAATAAAAATACATAAAATCCCTTAAAAGGAAGCTACCATCACATTTTTAATCTGTAAAATTAAAAATACATCATTGGTAGTTCTGTATTTATTTAATGGTGTTAGCTTTATTGTCTTGGTTTGGTGATTATATATTTTTTTTCATAAAAGTATCACTATCTATAATACAATTTTTTCTATTCGCTGTTCAGTCAACCCTGGAGACCTCACTTGCAGCAGTAAAAAAGCAGTTGTTGAACTTGGTAACTGAACCAGCAGAAACAACAGATTTGGGCTTTTTTAGCAGCAGTATCTAGCTTTGACAATATAGCTCACTGGAATGACTTTGCTAATGAAAAAGTATGGTAAGTCAAAGACAAAAAGCCTCTAAAGAAGAGCTTGCAAAAGATCCATGTACCACAGGGGTATTTTGCATAAGAAATTTGGGAACTTTGTATAATACAAGCAAAGCCTGTTCTATACAATCATGACAAACATTGCCATGTTTCAGTATCAACTTTAGCACAACTAAACCCAAAACCAAAAATGGGAAAATATTGAAGCTTACAAGTCTGTAGATGTAGTGACTAAATTTTTTTAAATTTTTCAAGATATGAGCATTTTCAGCAAATACAGAAAATGACAGCTGATCTTATTAGAAGTGCCTTTTAACTTCCTGTGTTAAAAGAAAACATAATCAGCCTTCTTTTCTTGTGTACACTACTAGATCCACCATATATAGTAATGAAGATGAACATAGGTAAACATGTTCAAAGTCCAACCTATACTGTACCTGCCATAGATGCAGTGCAGTTAATGTAGCCACCCAGGGACAGGAAGTGTGTTTTTTAGCAGGAATATCAGGTAAAAAAAAAGTCTAAAAAAAAAACTAATGAAGACGCCTTATCTAGGCTACTGGTAAGCTCAATACAGTATGTTTTTGTTTTTGAGTTTGGATACACTTTAAGCTGAATATTTATAATTAGGACCCTTTCACAGAGTTTGATTAGGTCCATCTGTCGGTTTTTCAGGCAGACTTGATTGGACGGTCCATTCACCCCTATGGACCAGCAGGTGTAAACAGACTTGTGTCTCTTACAAAGAGCTAGGTAGTGCCTCCTGGTACTCCTGCCCATTAAGGTAGTCATACTTTTTGAACTGTCGAGAAAGAGACTCCTTAAAGTCCCTAGAGCACTTGTACTATACATGTCCATCAGTCCATGTCCTGGAAACCCAACGGGGTTCCCGCCAAGGGGGAGCATAAAATACAGAATTGTTACATGTTACATTGTTGTTACATAGTGGAGCAATCCCCTGTTCCAGTTCCCATACATGTGGTAGCCCAATCTCAAGATGGCTCGGTCCTTTTTTACTACTTGCCCCAGCAGTTGGCAGTACACCAAAAAGCCTGAAAAAACTGACCAGCGTAGTTAACCCCTGACTTCCTGGAGATGCCAACTTAGAAGGGTAACTTAACTAAATAGTGCAACACTTACTATAGACGAGAACACTTAGTAGGAATTATCCTATAGTGACACCACAGAAGTACTTATTCATTCCCTAGTTATCGCCTGTTTTTTTTTTACTACAACTCCATTCTCACTAGCCTGCCTATACACAGGTTATCCTCCCTTCAGTCTAACATAAATGCTGCTGCTAGACTCATACAACTTACTAACTGATCCATGCCTGTTGCCACTGTCTGGAAAATACCATTACTGGCTTCCCTTAGCCCAAAGTATATAATTCAAAATACTAACCACAGCATACAAAGCCAACCTTCCCACTAACTCCAGCTACATCAGCAACCTCATCTGAATATATTGCCTAAATTGTCCACTCCACTCTTCCCAAGATATCTTTCTTTCTGGCTCCCTTCTTGTCTCCTTCCATTATTTCCTCAAGGACTTCTCCAGAAACTCTCCCATTCTCTAGATCTCCCTACCCCTGTATATCCAGTGAGATCTTATCCTGTCTACCTTCAGGCGATCCTTGAAATCTCATTTATTTAGGAAAGCCTATCCACATCCACCTAAAAACTGTACTTGGTTCACCTCCATTAGATTATCCCCAGCAGCTATTACCTTTTGTACCAAGTCCCCTTCCATTTAGATTGTAAGCTCCATGAGCAGGACCCTCCTATTCGTTTTGTATTGAACTGTATTGTTTTGTACTGTTTCCCTTTATATTGTAAAGCTCGGTGCAAACTGTAAGAGCTATATAAAGCCATAATAATAATAATAATAATTTGCGTCTTTATTGCCTGACAGAAGTTTGAAGTTAAAATGTAGATGTGTGGCATTTGAAAATGCTAAAATTCCATATTGAATGAAAATATTTTGTTTCGGTCATCTATAACAACATTTGGGACTGGATGGACGTTACTGATAATAAGGCCACATGGGTAGTTGTTAGTCTGTTAGGCATTGACTGTATTCAGTCTCTTCTTCAATTTTCAGGTATGTATTTCTACTGGACCAGCTCATAGACTTCATTTGAATTTAAAAACATCACCAAAAACAGATTATATTCCCCTGTGTTGGTTGCCTGCATGTCTGATTTTCTTATAACTAGGTTCTGTTTCCAATTCCAGGTTGTCTCTTTTCACCCTTTTCCCTAGAAAGTAATATACCTTTGAGAGAGTTGAACATGAAAAAAAAAAACTCTATAATTACAATTAATGAAATGATGACTTGTGTTTAGTTGTTTATTATTAATGATATTCATTAAATAATTGTAGATTTACCAATTACATGGGAACGTAATCAGCTGAAGGGAACTTCAGTTAACGCTCAGCACTAAAATAAATTTGCAAGAAAACATGAATTAATAATTAATAAACAAATCAGGTGCTTGCAATTGCAGAAATAATAAACTGGAGGCAAAATAAAGGGAATGTCATAGTTTGAAAAAAATTGTTTTAAAAACAGTAAAAGAAAAAGGCAGAACAAGAAAAAAAAAAAGATCCAAAAATAAAGTTGGATATAATTATTTTCAGGTTAATATATAAAGATCCTATGTGTAAAACATGTTTTTTGCAACTAACCTCATATACAGTATGCACAGTATGTATGTGGAATCATTAGAATCTACCAAATTTATTTCCAAGCTGGACCAATGTACAGTAACTAGGTATAACATACCAAAGCCTGGAGTTATTCTTTAAGGCAGGGCTTGAAAAAGCCACTCGCCAAATGCGAGGAGAAATGCCTCTGTGGCGAGTGGCTGCGAGCGGTGAGCACAGATGAAGCATGGAGCGACTGCACCTGCACTCCAAGCCTCATTGTGAAGCCGAGTTTCAGTTTACAACTTCCGGTTTCTGGCTTCTGCGGCACCGCCACCGAGGGGACAGGTGCAGGAGAGGTCCGCTCTCCTCCGCTGAGAGGAGACACCCTCTCCACCGCCGGGGACTCGGGGGGACAGTAAGTACTGTATACAACATGTCCAATCACTATAATGATGTACAGGGGAGCTGGGATATACATTACTGTATACAGTTTTATATTTTGGACTATTTATTCTAAAGAAAAATTTAATTTCATAAGCTTTAAGGGGGCGTGGTTGGGGCGTGGCGGGGTGGGGTTTGGGGGTGGACCTGGGCAAGGTTGGGTGGGGCAACTGGTGGAGAGTAAGTTTTGTGACCAGCTAGTAGGTCTGGACTCAAAATTTTAACCCCTGCTTTTTTTTTTATATTAACAATTTTTATTGGTTTTCAAAGAAATCATATGTTACAGAAAACAAGGAGAGAAAAAACAAAAAAGACAAGCAAAACAGAGAAGTACATCGATGGCAAGGATTACATTTAGTCAAGACCAATAGAGTCATATATTAACAGTGCGTTAATAATCAGGGTCTTACATTTCAGGCCAGCATAGAGGAAGAGAAATTATCCCACGGGAGCCAGATCATCTCAAATACAGCAAACAAACCACTATGTGAAGCAGTCAAACACTCCATCTGTCTTACATCGGCAATAAGTTTATACAAAGTTGGCAATGAAGGTGGAGTAGAGGATAACCAACACATAGAAATACTTCTCCTGGCCGCTGTTAGCACATGTGCA